CCCGCAACTGAGAAGTGGCGACGTCCCAAAAATTCAAGTTTCCGCAGTTATCTCCTGAGCAAAGAATGGGATTTACAGTACAGAATTCCAAGGTTTCAATGGACCCAACATCGGAATTCACTTCTCCGTCATTTCTCACAGCACCATCAATCAATGTTCTTAAAACCTGTACAAAAGAAATAAATAATAAATATAGTTATTCAAATAAAGATAAAGAAAACACTGACAGCTCTGAGTTAGTTTTGTGCTGTTACCACTGATTAGCAGCAATGTCTAAGAGCGGCATAACATAACACAACAGTTTATATGTAACAGTGAACGACACTAATATCGTTCTAAACATTTATACCATTTCTAACGGTAATCAGAGATATTCTGACAATTAACCTATATTAGCCTCATATGAAAACGAAAAAACATGAATTATATAAACGGTATATATCTACATCGCCGCAATACAGCAACTAGTATATCAATAGTATCATAAAACTAATGCAATCCAATATAATTATTTTACAATATTAGCATATATTTAGGAGTATTAACGCGCAACGTGTAAAGGTGTACATAAATACTGATAAACAACGAATGACTCACTCAGAACCAGATTTTACGGCGTATTGAATCGCTTCATTTTCCTCCTAAAGAAAGACAAACCAGAATCTGATCAGGTGGAAAAACGATGATGCTAGAAAAAAAGGGTCAACAGCAAGTCGGCAGATGACGGAGACGGAAGAAAAACCTTGAACCTACAAGGGCACAATGCGAAAAAAATTTTGCCATTGTGGAACATGCCTTTACCCATCAACATAACATCATGGGACAAAATGAATCAGAACAACGATATATTTCTCGCAAACTCAAGGAAGTGTTACTCATCAGTGCAAACCACTTCATCAGTCATGACAACGGAACACACATCAGGGACAAATGGACGGCAAACTTCAAGCTTACGACCAGAAAGCAAATCGGGCACATTAATCATGCGGGTCAACCAGACTCCCATGAAAACATTTCGTGCCTTTCTCACTGTCCTCTGAAGACGGACCGAGCCTGGTCTGAAACGTCAGATGGACTTAATAAAAAATATTTTATGCGTTGTCTTCTAGTTTGTGACTTATCAAAACATCATATATATGACATACTGTACATACTTGCAACTTTCATACATATATTAATATGTGTGTTTAACTAGCACTCATTTACAACCTCAGTGGATTCATCCCGCATACAAAATTTATTAACAAATAACCTGACGTTTCCGATCCATCTTTAAAAAACATTATGCAACAACAAGCGCAGAAAAACGACAGTAATGCAAGACCATTACTGATTGATTTTGCACTTGTTAGCTCTATCTGAAACGTCTGGATCATACTTAGTAAAATACACGCGCAGCACAGCAATTAAGCATAGATACTGCAAGCATATATAAATATGTATTGGCTACAAGCATATAGATGCACACGCATCGAAAATGGTAGTACATAATCATAATTCTGATTCTATACCTATGCATTCTGATTCTATAATCATGCATAAAAGTTAATACAGCACATATCTTTCATGGATAAGGAGTGACTGGAATATAGCACTGATATGAACTTTAGATATGTCCAGATCCAAACCTTAATATAGCTGTTACTTCCCATGAGCAAAAAATTCACTTTATTTTATTATGCTTTGTTTTGCTACGGTGCAAGCAGCCAAGAAACAGTTAGCAAGATGGTGACTTGTAAATAATGGGGCCAGCATGGTGCTGTGCTGTGGTCAAACCAGAATGGGTCAGAGTTAGAGCCATCTGAAGATAAACAGAAGGTATAACCAGTAAATAAATATATTTGCACAACGACTGAATATTCATGCATAATATTAAAAGAAACGCAAACAATCGTATCGCGAACCCCTGAACATAATCCACGTATCTACGTTTACCTTACAAATAATTCACAATAAACGTAGAAACATAATTGTATATGCTCAACAAAAGTCAATCTAGTGTAGTGTAATAAATGTAGAAAAAACAGCGCAAAATTTAAAAGACAGTACGTGGTTTAAGTATAGGTAAATCACACAACAAATCAGTATATATGCTGTGTATATAAAATAGTTTTCGCGCTGGTTTTTCAACAAGACTATAAACAAAAGACGCAATCTCATAAATATGCGTACATAAACACTAGAAAACTGTATACAGACGTGCCACTGACCTGAATATGCATGGCATATTGCATTTGGTCTTTGATCTCGAAATGGAATACAATTTAGGCAAGCTGCGGTCCCACTGTATTACAGAACTGACGTGCATGGAAAGAAAGAAAAGTCTGTAATTGTTGGAATATCGGTATTCCCCAAACTTTCCTGAACGAACGACTTCCTGCACCCTTCGTTTCAAGAGGCTAATGATAGGGCACTGATTTCCATGTACAGGAACGCCCATTTTAAAGGCGTAGTCGGCAGCGTAGAAAGCAAAGTGAACACTTTCCTGTTTCCTTCCCATGTTGTAGTACTCATTAATTAACCTCAGAAAG